CCATGGGTCGTTTTGGGGAAGGAGAGAGAGAGAGGAGTGAAAAAAAAAGACCACACAGCGTGTGCGGACGGAGGCGCCCGTGTACCTTCGTGCACACGCGCGCGCGTGCACGCGCCTGCGCTCGTGCACGCGAGCTCGTGCGCAGACACCGCAAGGACAAAGATTCCCCGTATAGCCTCAACAGACTGTTGGGTGCAAGTGCTGTTAGCGAGTGCCTATTCAGGCCGGCACGGCACACGAGAGGGGGTGGGTGGCCAGCACCACGCCTGGTCGCCTTTGTCTCCCGGGTAGTGATGCTTACACACCGCACCAGGTACTCATTTTAGGCTGAGTCAACCTAGGGGAGACCGAGGACCGGTTCAGGTAATCGTCACTGGTGTTGGTGGCCTGTGAGCGGTGAATGGAACTCGGGTCACCGGGTTCACGGTGCAGCTCACCAACCGCTTCGCCACTGCTCCCCGCGGGCGCGTACACACACACGCGCGTACACACACACGCGCGTACACACACACGCGCGTACACACACACGCGCGTACACACACACGCGCGTACACACACACGCGCGCACGCACGCACCACGCGCACCCGAACGTTGCACGTGTGCGATCGACACGCAACGCAAACCGTCACACGCAACGCACGCAACGCTTGAGCGGTCGCCTGCGCCGATCGTGCAGCCCCCAAATGGATTCACGCACAGATGCGCGTAACATTTTTCAGGAGGTGTCTTTATTTGCATCGCAGCTGTGATTGTGCGCGCGCGTTAGCGCGTGCATTTGTGAGCGCGCGTGTATGTTCCGTGTGAATGCATGCGGGTGCAGATTTCTCTTTCACGTTATTCATGCTCTTCCCAATTCATGGTCTCCACATTGTGCGCGTGCGCTGCGCGCACGCGTGTGTGTGTGTGCGTGTGGGTCTGCTGTGACCCACCGGCTTACACCTTTGTGTGCTCTTGCCGGCTTGCTCTGTTAAGTTTAGGCTGGTGGAAAAAGTTCCTGATCGTCTCATTGGTATTCAAACCGGGATCTTTTTCACCGTGCCCAGGGCCGTTTTAATTTTAATTTGCACCTGTTGTGCAGTTGTCGGGTGGCAGGGCTTAAACAGGGGGGTCTGAGAGAGTTGACTACAAGGGAGGGGAGGTTTCCCGAACACAAAGCTTACATTATTGCAGGGAGGGAGAGAAGGGATCTTTTCGCTCCAGGATAAAATGGCTAAAGGGAGAGTGAAATCTCCACATCTTTTTTTTTTTGGGGGGGCTGGTGGCGGCTTGGGGAAATTAATCGGCTTCCAAAACAAAATAGTTCCGGAGTGACGTAAGGTTGGGGGTCAGTGTTGGGGGGCGAGTCGTGGGGTAAGGGGGTGATAGGGGGTGTCGTGGGGGGGGGGGGGTGGAAAGTGTATCGGGATTGGGTGCAGGCCTCATTAACCCTTTATTAGCTCCACTAAGTGCTTGGAAAGCAGACTAATTTCAGTCCCACGGTGTAGTATTCAACCTTCTTATACTTCCTATACTTTGCAATCAATGACCACAGACAATATCTTGGATTGAATGTGAATAATTAGCAGAGGATTGATGAAGAGCTGTAAATAACGATTGTTTTACAAGTATTATTGTATTCACCGACAGCCACCTTCACTATTGTGGCCTGCATTGTAATCACAAACTAGATTACGGATACATTGCTCCCCACACCTCAATCTTATGACCTTTGCAGGAATCTGCCCTGCCATTAGCTAAACCACGTCTCACCCCACTGCCTTTGATTAAACAAAGTACATCGCAGCGTAGTACATACGTAAACTTTTCTAACTAATAGAAAATCATCTTAAATATTTTGCCAAAACGCCTTGAAGAAGGGCGCTCGAGTTAGATAGCAACACGAGACACGTGTTTCTTCTCACACAGCTTAAAGGTCGCGATCTGAGCGTGGCTTTTTCACTCCAGCGCCGTCCTCCAGACAGTCTCGTCCCTTCACCTGATGAAGGCCGCTTGTGTTGTGGCCGAAACGTCGTGAGAATATTATTGTGTTATTTTATTTTATCAATTTATTCTTTTATTCTCATTCTACGTGACTTTACCGAAAGAACCAAAGAAGACGTGGTCACTCGTTATAACCATGAGGGAACATCAGCGAGGCATACCCAGCTAGCTATAGGCTGCTGTGAATAACCATTTTTTGGTTAAATGGAGAGGAAACTAGAGTGGAACCATGGGGCTCAAGCATCCATCCCAGCAACACTCTCGGGGCTGCGTATAAAAAAAAAACCCTTTTCCTCCAGCGATAACAACAACATGAACAACGTTGAGTTCGCAGTGAAGTTTAAGCTTGGTTGCAGGGAAGACGTGCCTTTGGGTGTGGTCTTACAAAAGGCAGTGTGATTTGTTGCTTTTAATAAAATGTTTATATGCCGCTTTATTTACATAGTTATTTTTTACCACCGGTGCAATTAGTGTAGCCGCTACAAATGTTGTGCAGGAGCTTTGGCAAAAGTCCGGATTCTGAGTATTTGCCCCGAAAGGACAGAGCATCTTTAAATTGGCTGGCAATTTATTTCGTCAGCATTCATGTTCACAACGAATTGGGTTGTGATCCCTTTGCAAGAAAAAATACATAACGCCGCAGCGACAACACGAACATGCCAACTTTTTAAAAACGATTTTTGTTTAAATGTACTGAAGAGTACCGAAAGTTATTAAAGTATAATTTTTTTTGCAGTGTCTCGGAACATTGAGCACATTAGAGATTAAAGTCAATAAGTGGCAGACATTTATCCTTGAAACGCACTCAGATGTTGAACTTCTTAAAAAAAGTTTTAATAATAAATAATGGCCTTGCAATCGGGAGCGAACACCCCCCCCCCCCCGTAATCAGAATGTAAAAAAAATTAGAATGAAAAAAAGGGGACATATTTTCTTGGTGACGTTATGAGAGGGACAGACAAGATTAAAGAGCCTGAGGGGCAGGGAGGGGGGCTCTAGCCCCCTTGCTCCGGATCTGAGAATTACTGAAAACTATGCGTCGGCGCTCTTTGCCACGACCACAGCTTCACCAAGCCCAGCGCATAGCGTCGGGGGGGGGGGGGGGGGGGGGAGCTTGCAGGAAGTAGCGAGCCTTAAATGTAACGGATTGTTTGTTTTAAGTCCAGAGTTTAGGTATCCGTGGTGTGATCTGGAACACTGGTAAAATGTGTCACGTGACCAGGCCAGTAGACGAAATGCGGTAAAGCTTTTTTTTTTAAATAAACGAAATAACGTTCTGCTATTTTTTTTTCTTACCCAGAGTGAATGGGAAAATTGGGATGTGTTAAAATGTGAATGATAGTCCTGAAAATAAAATTCAATGAGTTGCGCTTTTCTTTGCTCTGGCAATGGACGATGCGGTGCTTAAGGGGCCTGTGCTTTCAATGAGTTCTCCTGGTCCTGCAAAAAAAGATACGGAGTGAAACCTGTGCTTGCTATCACATGCCACTTTTCTTATCATGTTCTGTTTATGCTCTCTAAATGCTTAACTTGTATTTTTACTGTTTCATAATGTGCGTTTACCTGGCAATTGTAGTTGTGCATTTGGATCAATAACACCATATATACCAAATGTTTTTCCATGAATTTGTGGAATAGAATGTGTAATAGAATCATTTGTCTAACAATTTGTGTAATAGAATGATTGCATTGCTGTCATACCGGCGTGGTTGAGGTGAACATCACCTTGTGTCAGTGCTCAAACAACCAGTGGGTTCGTGAGCATTTGCCCTGGTGGACGAGGTAGTGAATGAATGAAATTCAGCATTCCCATGGTGCTTTGTCAGTCTCTCCATGGGAATTACCTTTGCTGACATCCCACTGGATGCTAATATCTTATTTACCATTTTCAAAGTGTATAGGTATCAATCTCTCAGTATATGCTCATATATAATGTTTGCTCTTTTTTGTGTTCACAAGATGTATCCCGTTTTCCTACGAGGAACATTCCTCTCAATTAAGAAAGAGACATGCTGTACAGAACAGTGACGCCTTTGAAATAAATGATATGTATTTTTTTAAAACAAAAAGGGAAGAGGGCAAGTATAAAATTAGAAAATCGATTCCGGCATGGAAATTCGGCATGGCGACATGGGGCATCCGAAAAGAAAGGAATGATTGTGGGGTTCCGTGCGACAGTTCTCGAACACTGACCTGTTGTTGTTATTGTGACTATGGTGATACTGTTGCCGCTTGCCGCCAGGCAGGACACACAGATGGCCCCAGACACGTTGTCTACAAGACGCCAATTGTGTTGGGTCTGGTTCTTAGCGTCGGGGAGTGGAGGGGGGGGGGAAACAAAAATTTGAGAGAGAGAAGGAAAAGCACAAGTCGCCGACTGTTGCCCTGCGTCCAGTTTTAGCACGTGGGAGCCTGATGACAAGAGGGTTTTCTGTGCAGGAGTCAACAGCGCTAGCGTGCGTCTAAGTGGTGGCAGCGCAGAGGGGGGCGGTGGGTGCGCGTGCCCTTGCTGCGTGTAACCGCGCCGAAGTAACTGCACTGCAGGGGCCACATATTTTTAGCAACGCGGGATTTTGAGGGACGTGGCCTACGGCCATGGTGTGACCTGTGCCAGAGCATGCCCTTCTCTTAAACCCGGGCGAAGGGGAGAAACGCATCCTACTCAACACACACGCGCGCGCACAGTGGGTGTGTGCCACTAATCCCATGCCAAAAAAAAAACCTCCTTTTCGTTCTCAGCAATTTGGATCAGCAATATCGGTCCTGATTTTTTAACAAATACAAGAGTAAAAAAAAAATTAGCTCATTGTTACATTGCATTCTTTCAGCGTTTCATTTACATTCAGATCGTAACGATTAGAATTTTTTTTTGTTTCTGTTGGGATGTAATGCTCACAGCTGCTTTTCTCTCTTGGCCGCAGCTATGATGTCAACGCTCCAATTCTCATCGCCACCGTGCCTCTCTCTGTCTCTCGCCCCACCCATGCCCTCTCCGCCTCCACCCCTTCTCCACGTGCAGTGCTGCAGAGCTATGAGAGTGTGATCGACGCCGGATCGGAGACGGACGAGGAGGACTGCCTGCAGATTGCCGAGGATGAGGCGGCCCCGGGGCCTCCGTCGCCTCCGCCGTCCCCTTCCTCGGCGCCGGACGCGGCTGCGGCGGCCGTGACCGCGGCGGCCGAGGCGGAGGCGAGAGGCGAGGAGCCCGGGGCGGACGGGCAGCCGGGCAGCACGGCCCTGGCGGCCGCAGGCGCCGGTGCCGCCCCCGCGCCGACCCACGGGGGAGCGGTGGGCTTCCCCAGCCCCGACCCCGGAGCAGTGCTGCGGGAGGGGGCAGAGCGTGGGGGCGGCGACGTGCAGCACACCTGGAGAAGCAGAGAGGCACAACCCTCTCCTCACTACAGTGAGTCGTGCTCGAGGGGGGCGGGCGGCGGCTCGCTGCTCAAACGAGATGGGAAGGGTGGTGGAACTTGTCTTAACTATGCACACTTGTGCTACGCCCATCTCTAAACCTTTATCAACAGTTTGCCTTTAGAGGCTAACCTTCCCCCCCCCCCCCACCTTTTTTTCTGATGACGACCGCTTGTGTTGCGATCGAAACGTCGTGGGTTTATTTTATTTTTATTGACTTCAACTTTTATGATTATTTTTCTATCTACGCGACTTTACCGAATAACCAAAGAATATGCAGTTTATGGAGGCAATTGAATTAAGTGGTAGGATGATGACCACTGTTGACGTTCACTTGAATCTTGTGTGCCTTAAAGTGATGATAGGTCAAGTTGACCTCCACCCCTCCCCCCCCCCAAATCGTCGTATCGATTTATGACCTTCCAATTGTGTGAAGCACTCGAACTTCAGTGCCACTGGGTGCCACTGGGCACTCTCCGTTTTGCTTTCCGCAAAGTTGTGCGCCACCTTTCAGCTTAGTAGCACGTGATTAATCACTCGGCTCATGGCCCCCCTCACAAAACCGTCAGAGCCCATCACAGTGGTGGTGCCTCATGCACGAATTGTTTTGAGGTGCAGTGAAATTTACCCTGCCGAAACTCTCAGAGCTATGCGTGTTTTATCCATGGCAGAGTCGTGTCTGCTGCGCCTTATATAACATGCAACCTGACTTATCTGCTGTAACCCGGGTCACCGTTGTAAAAGGGAAAGTACCAGTGGGATCAGAACCGTTAAAAAAAAGTAGTAGATCGTTCAATCAAGAGTGCCCAGTTCGTATCTGGGATTGTTGCAAGCCAAAATCCCTCGTACGTGGTCAACCTAAACCCACCATCGCTCGTGGCCTGGTCGATGAGTATCTCTTTGTCGGATTTCAACAGTGGGTGTCCTGTGGAGCGATAGCCTCCAAGTGAAAATTCCTCCACTGGCTGTGGGCCTCCAAAATGGATGAGCACTGCATGAATCTCTTTATATGGCGGTGAAAAAACCTTGGAATCTTAAATTGACTTAATTATGTCTGACTTTTTGCATTTTCTAGCATTGCATATTGCGCTGTAATTGAATTATAATTAGTAAGATAAAAAAAATAATGCATTCATAATTGGAAATTATAGATTCAGTCTGAAAAACAAAATGTTATCGACATGCAAGGGTTATTTTTTGAGATGCAGATACAACATCGTTCCATGTAACTGGAGCATCAACTGGAGCATCAACGTTTTTGGTAAAAAGGGTTTATTTTGTAAGTTTATTAACATTTCAGGTGAAGCAGCAGCGATATAAATGAAATGCATCTGTAAAATGCTACACCCAGCCCATGTACCTATTCCTGCTTTTGAAAGACATGTCCTTGTACACAGAATAACATTGCATGATGGTTCAGTTTTTTGTTGGCAGTACTCGGCTTGTGGTGCCATTTCCATAATTATGATTCTGTTTTGTCCGTGTGCTGTCGTGTTACTTCACATCGTACACAGCCCATTGGGTTCACGCAAATGTAATGCCCATTCTAAAACTAAAATAATGACGAGTGTTCCCACCTGAGAACTCCGTGGGGGTCATTGTACAAGGCCGCACTATTCCCAAAAGAGATGTCCACGTAATGCAAACCACATGTGTAAAGTATGAATAATGCCGGCTGTAGTTAAACCTGACTATTGCACTATTATATTGGCCACTTGGCTTGTAAACAGGACCCATGAAGAGGACATGTGCTCACTTTCTCAAGCGAATACGAGCAATTCATTTTCTGGAATTCAGGTTTGCAGTCTGTCATGGAGGTCAGCTAAAACGTATGGACATTATTACACGGAAGGCTCTGTAGGTCTGCGAATGTGCAGGGTTTCTCCGTGGCAATTATTGCCACGTTACTATTTATTTTGAGTTAACATTGCTTTAACTGGGTTCACGTGATTTATATTCTCGTCATTCTAAGTATTATGTATTCCTCCTGAACCTCTCTTATCTTGGCCCAAAAGAGATAAGGTGATATTCGCAGCAGGGATTTAGGCATTACCTGTGCAGCAATGTAGTATTTATAGTCTCTAAATGTTCTGTATATAAAAACAAAGTTAGCCTCAATAGCCTTTAACATACTGGTTGGGCAAGAGCTGTTAGTGAGCACACATATACATCCTGTGTACATATGCACGCACACATTTCTTTAGCCATGAACAATATTTTACTCATAAACTTTAACAAAACGTGCAACTATTGCAAATAATATGTAATATACGAATAATATACAAACACTGTATTGGTATTGGACCATAGCATTGGCTAACGTTGGCCTCGTTCTTCAAACCACGTTAGGGAGTCTTCAACATTGTCGGCAGGGTTGGAGCTTTGGGATTTATGTTCAACGGTAAGTCTCGATGTATAGGCTTGGTATTTGTGACCGTTCTATACGGAGATTTCATCATCCCACTGCTAACTTCAACATGGAGATACTGACTGTGACAAGGATAAATGTGTGAATAAAAAAAGCCAACTAAATTAAACTTGTGTATTTGTTAAAATGGCAGGATGTTGTTTTCGTATGCATAATTTTAAATTGGAATACATTTAGACTGAGCGCCAATATTGAGACATACATACGCTGGAAACAAATGTCGAAATGTGCAGTGGACACCTACGAGCTATCTGCTCATGGATCGTGGTGATGATGATGATGACATACGATAAACAAGATATTTTCCTGTCTTAAAGAGTCATTACTATCACTGGTGCCCACGCAATTGAACTCCGTCTTACAAACTGTCTACTTACTTATACAGTGCTGCAAAAAAACAAAGACTCCTTGATCCTGGGCCCATTGGATGAGGTCACTAAAATGTAAATAGAGGGTTGCCGTGACACGTGTGTTTTATTTGAAAACAAATCCAAAGGGTTATAATGAGCACCGTCGAGGAGAAGACAGGGCAGCGAGGTAGACGACGCTGCTTCTCATTATCGCAATTTTAATTTTTCACGTAATTACAATCTGCCTCTTAATGCGTCTCACGTAGGATTATAAAGTTATTTCGACATTTACAGGAACGCTACGAACAAGAGTACACAAACATGTTTGTTTATATATCACGCTGGTGAGGTTGCTATGTGAGCAATTTCGAGTTCTATCAAATCTAGACATTATATATTGCTTCTGAGGACAAAAACGCGTGCCAGCGTTAATCGTAAAGGCTGTGTTTGGGTTTTTCGGGCCCTGTACTTAACAGTGTTATCTTATGACTCACGTTTCACCATGGTAATTTAATCTATGAGGTTTAATTCTTAAGGAATAATAATACTTCAGCACTATAATACTGCAACTGATATCGCTTCTGTTCCTATTGCTAGATCAATGTCTTCATTTCTTTCACACAATGTTATCTAAACATTAATTGCAAGCATTACATCTTTATTCATAACGAAAATCCTATTCTTATACCTATTAACCCGAGTCCAATTGCTGGCCATGGCTAACATCAGTGACAGAGATATCTGAACAGTCCTGAGGTCTGCCCTTCACCAACATGCACTGACAAGTGTGACAAAGTTAGAACAAACAACCCCTATAACTGACTTGGTCTGAAGAGGCCTTCATCCAGCAGTTGATTTACATGAGGCTGTAAATTACTTTGTGTCATCATTAGTATAACTACAGTTATCAACTTACACTTTAAATGTTGACTTAAAGCTTTCGTGACTGCAGGAATTCATATTCTTTGGGACTTTCGGTTATATTTCTATCTACGTGACTTGACCGAAAGACCCAACGAATATGAGCTTACAACTTATTTTATCATTGTCAATGTTATATTTCAAGTTTCATGATGAATAAAACACATTATGAATGTAACCCTCCAAGATGCTCCTTTTAACATTCATAACCAAGTGCTTTTTGAATCGTATAATAACAAGGCACGTTTACTTATGTATGTTGAACTTCTTTCGCACCGTACGTAGCCAACTCTTAATTTATTTCCACGTGGGTTTGCGTAAAGTTTTGTTCTCAAAATACAAAAAAAGCGTTTTAGAACGTGAGTGCCATCACACGCACATACACCGTGTGTGTACCCCGGGCCGCTGCATCGCTGACGTTTGCCATCTCAGACCGCGACACAGAGCTAACGGGGTTTATTCACGACGGTCACAACTCGCTCGCCCCACAGCCTGCCACGAGCGACCCAGGAGCACCTGCGTCTGTTCGTCAAAGCATTGATAATAATAATTCACCAATGGCCCTTCTTGCCGTTTGTTTATGTTTTTTTTGTTGCCGCCGCCGCCGCCAATTTCGTCTGTCTGTCCGTCAGCCTGTCTAAGTTTGGAGCTCCTGTTATCCTTGGTGAATAGCCCGTACGCTCACTACGGTGCCTGTCGCTGAGCCATTCACTGAGGATAGCTTTGGCGAGTTAACTCTCTCCAAGTGGTGCGATAGTTGAATCAGATTACCGAAGGCAAGGTACTTATCGGTAATCCAGTATTGTTTCTTGTTTTTCACTGCCATCATCATAGTCCTGCAATGCAACAACCCATTTAGCTCCTGTGCACTAGATGATTTCGTTCGTCGGTCCATCTCCGGCAGTGGACGTGCTGACTGGTGTGCTCTCTCCTTTCGCTGCCACGCCATCGTCGTTTTCTCAAGGTGTGGTCAGAACATAGAGAACACGTTGCCGTAAACTTAGAACTCGGTAGATTTGATAGTTTCAGTGGGGCCTATGGAAATGTCTCCATGTGTGAGAGGACAAATCTGTATAGGTACATGCCATTAGATCGGAGAGAGTCTGTACATTATTAGAAATTTTGAAACTGAATGCTAACGCCTTCCTATAATGAACTGCACGTGAAATAAATGTATACTAGTAAATACAATATGGTATTCAATTAACATTTGTCTATCCTTTATTTAATGAGTACATTGTTGACTTAATGGGTTCTTATCTGCTCACAATGAAAGGAGTTGATTGAATTAGG